CAGAACTTCTGGGAAGCAGCAAAAGTGGTGCTAAGGGGGAAATTTATAGCTATAAGTGCTATTACATTAAAAAAAATAAGAAAGATCCCAAGTCAACAATCTAACCTCATAATTTAAGGAACTAGAAAAAGAACAAATAAGCCCAAAGCAAGCAGAAGGAAGGAAATAATAAAGATTCGAGCAGAGATAAATGAAATAGAGAATAGAAAAACAGTAGAGAAAATCAATGAAACCAAATGTTGGTTCTTCAAAAATATCAACAAAACTGACAAAGCTTTAGCTAGGTGAACTAAGAAAAAAAAGAGACAGCTCAAATTACTAATATAAGAAATTAAAGTGGGAACATTACAGATTCTACAAAAAATAAAAAGGATTATAAGAGAGTACTGTGAACAGTTTTATGCCAACAAATTGGATCACCTAGATGAAAGAGACAGATTCCCAGAAACATAAAACCTACCAAGACTATGTTACAAAGAAATAAAATACATGAATAAATGTATAACCAGTTAGGAGATTGAATTAGTAATCAAATATCTCCCAACAAAGAAAGGTCCTGGATCTAATGGCTCCACTGGTGAATTCTACCAAATATTTAAAGGAGAACTAATACCAATCCTTCTCAAGTTTTTCCCAAAAATTGAAGAGAAGGGAATGATTCCTAACTCATTCTTTGAGGCCAACATTCCCTGATAACGGAAGCCAGACAAAGACACTGTAAGAAAAGCAAACTTTGAACCCCTAATGAACATTGATGCATATATCTTTAACAGAACATGAGCATACAGAATTCAGCACATTAAAAGGATTATGCACCAAGACCAAGTGTGGTTTATTCCTAGAACGCAAGGATGGTCTAACGTGTGAAACTTGAGCAGTTCAATATGCCACATCAACAGAATGTAGGATAAAAGCCACAGGATCCTCTCAATAGATGCAGAAAAAGCATTTGACAAAATTAAACACTCTTTCATGACAAAAACAATTAACTTAGGAACAGAAGGAAGCTACTTCAGCATAGTAAGAGCCATATATGAAAAACCACAGTGGTTTTTCAATGGTGGAAGGACTGAAAGCTTTTCCTCTGAGGTGAGGAACAAGGTAGGGATGCCTGCTTTCACTACTTCTGTTCAACACAGTATTGTATTTTCTAGCCATAGCAATTAGCCAAGAAAAAGAAGAGGCATCTAAATTGGAAAAGAATAAGTAAAATTGGGCTTCCCTGGTGGTACAGTGGTTGAGAGTCCGCCTGCCGATGCAGGGGACACGGGTTTGTGTCCCAGTCCGGGAAGATCCCACATGCCGCGGAGCGGCTGGGCCCGTGAGCCATGGCCGCTGAGCCTGCGTGTCTGGAGCCTGTGCTCCGCAACGGGAGAGGCCACAACAGTGAGAGGCCTGCGTACAGTAAAAAAAAAAAAAAAAAGAATAAGTAAAATTATCTCTTTTTGCAGATGGTATGGTTTTAGATGTAGAAAATCCTAAAGATCATACACACACACACACACACACACACACACACACACCTGTTAGAACTAATAAGTGAATTCAACAGTGTAGCAAGATACAGAGTCAACACGCAAAAATCATTTGCATTTCTATACATGAACAGTGGACAATCTGAAAAGAAATTACAAAAGCAATTTCATTCACAGTAGGATCAAAAGAATAAAATACTTAGGAATTAACCAAGGAAGTGAAAGACTTGTACAAGAAAACTATGAAACATTGCTGAAAGAAATTTAAAAAGCCACATAAATAAATGAAAACAACATCTCATGTTCATGGATTGGAATACTTAATATTAAAAAGTCAATTCTACCCAAAGCAATCTACAGATTCAATCCCAATCATGTCAGAAATCCCAGTGACATTTTTTGCAGGTAAAAGATCCATCCTAAAATTCATATAGAATCTCAGAAGACTCCAAATAGCCAATATAATCTTGAACGAGAAGAATAAAACTGGAGGACCCACACTCCCTGATTTCAAAACTTATACAAAGCTGCAGTAATCAAAATAGTGTGGGATCAACATAAAGATAGACGTATAGACCAGTGAAATAGACAGTCCATAAATATTAACTGTCACAAATATGGCCAAATGACAAGGGTACCAAGGCCAGACTACTGGGGAAAGGACAATCTTTTCAACAGATGGTGCTGGGAAAACTGGTTATCTACATGCAGAAGAATGAAGTTGGATCCTTACCTAACACCGTATTCAAAAATTAATTCAAAATGGATCAAGCACCTAAATTTAAGACCTAAAACACCCCCCCCCCCCAAAAATCCTTAAGAGAAAGTATAGGACAAAAGCTTCATGACATTGAATTTGGCAGTGATTTCTTGGATATTACACCAAAGGCACAAAAGAAAAAATAGACAAATTGGACTTCATGAAAACTTAAAAATATTTGTAAGTCGAAAGACACTATCCACAAGCTACAGAATGGGAAAAAATATTTACAAATTATATATCTGATAATGATTATTAACCAGGATATGTAGAGAGCGCCTAAAACTCAACAACAAAAAAATCAAATAACCCAGTTCAGAAATGGGCAAAGGACTTGAATAGACATTTCTCCAAAGAAGATATGTAAATGGCCAATAAGCATATGAAAAGATGCACAACATCACTAATCATTAGGGATATGCAGCTCAAAACTACAATGAGACATCTCCTCATACCCATTCTCCTCCCACCCGTTAGCATAGCCGCTATCAAAAAAGCAGAAAACAAGTGTTTGAAAGAATGTGGGGATATTGGAGTCCTTGTGCACTGTTGGTGAGAATGTATAATGGTACAGCTATAGTGGAAGACAGTATGGCAGTTCCTCAAAAAATTAAAAGTAAAATTACCATATGATCCACCAATTCCACTTCTTTATATACATGTAAAAGAATTGAAAGCAGTATATTAAAGCGATATTTGTACCGTTACATCATAGCCCCATTACTCACAGTAGCTTAAATGTAGAAGCAATCTCAGTGTCCATGGACAGATGAATGGACAAGCAAAATGTGGTACATATATACAATGTAATATTCAGTTTTAAAAAGGAAGGAAATTCTGCAGTATGTTACAACATGGATGAACTTCGAGAACATTATTTATGGAATAAGCTAGTCACAAAAAAGACAAATACTCTGATTCCACTTATATACAAGGCATTTAGAATAGTCAAAGTCATCTAAACAGAAAGTATATGGTAGATGCTGGAAGGAGGGGAAAATGGGAAGTTGTTGTTTAGTAGGTATAGAATTTCATTTTCATAAGATTAAAAGAGTTATGTGTGTGGATGTTGGTGATAGTTGTACAACAAGGTGTGTGTATTTAATACCACTGAAATGTACACTTAAAAATTGTCAAGATGGTAAATTTTATATTAAGTGTATTTTACCACAGTAAATTTTTTAAAAATATTGCAAGTTTATCTCAGATTATCTGAATTATATTCAAGCCTGTTCTTCATGCTATCACCAAATTAATCTTTCTAAAACACTGCTTTATTTATTACATAACATTTCTGTGCTCAAAAAAATTTCCATTGGCCTCTGGTGTCTTACCTTTCTATCCTTACCTCCCATTGTTAAAATCATCCTATATGTTAGCTAAACTATTCACCTTTCTCTCAACCTTTTCTATGACCTTTTGATTCTTGAAACACTTGCTCTTCCTACCTTTAATGCCGTTTTTCCCCCTTTCCCTTCCTCCTCCCAATGTGCACATCTTTTTAAGGACCTAGTTAAATTTGAACTTCCCTAGGAGACTTTTCCTAATTGCCCCACTTGGGGTGGCTTCTCTTTCTTCTAAAGATTTATGGCATTTAATGTTTAAACAGTTCATTTAATAGTTGACACTGGCTGATATTTGTTGGTGTGTACCTGTTTTGTTTCCCCAACTGCCTCTAAATTAAGTGGGCTCAGTGCTGTATCTTAAAATTATTTGTATTACCCACTTGACAATATTATGAATTGATTTATTGATATACTGTGAATAAGAAGAAGTAAATATGCCCTTCAAGTAAATTTCAGACTTATCAATCAGATTCAAGAGCATCTGGCAGTGTTTCTGCAGAAGATACACTTGGTATTCAGGTTGGGTTCTTGTTAAATTTTTCTAGAACAATTAAATATGGTACCAGTAAGTTGTCTGTTTGTAAGGTGACTTTGTATATGTTTCCAGGCAATAAAATAATTTTGAGAAATTTGGAATCTTAAATTTTTTTGCTATAATATTGTATCAGAAATAAGTATTAGTGTATGGGTACTAATACTTACCTTTTGTTCATGTGCTGGGTTAAAGTTAGTTGTAGAAATGACTTGCTAGGTCAGTGTTATAATGTTTATAAAGATTTTTGTTTTTAAGTCAGATGAGTTAAAATGGACTTGAAGTTAGCAAATCTGTGTTACTTTACTGTGGTACTGCATTTTTTCTTGTGGAAGTCAAGTTTTACTGTTTTAGTTTGAGGCAATAGTTTGCACAAAAGTTTCTTTCTGTTACTCTCCTGTGTGTGTGTGTGTGTGTGTGTGTGTGTGTGTGTGTACACTTACATATGCCTTCTCTAGGGTTATGATTAGGATATTGAAGTATTAAAGAAAGGTATTGCCTTTAAGAAATGTAGATAACATTTCAGTAACTTTTACGCCCTCCATTAAGCACCTAGAAAAATAGGTGAGTATTATTTCAAGAATTTTAATGGGGAATGTGTTTATCGTGGGCACAAAACTAAATAATGGATTAGTATCCATTTTAAGCAATACTTTTCTTTTCATAAGCCATTGTTTCACCCGTTGTTTTTTGAGAATCTAATTAGACTGTAAATTGCTCAAGGATAAAGATTTTATCTTATACTTCTTTGTGTCCCCAGCATCTAACCTAATGTCTTACATCAGAGTGCTTCAATAAATGTTAAGATGATAAAATGTCTATTTTTCTGGCTTTGGTTGTGGGGAGTAAATGTACTCTGATTTGATTTTATTTTTTCCTATTTACAGCCCCATTGACAAACCTTCCGATTCTCTCAGCATAGGGAATGGTGATAATTCCCAGCAGGTAAGATTTTGATACTGTATTCTTTCATTTATCTGCCATCTGCTGAAACAAGACATTCTATGCGAGTGAATTTTCTAGATAGTGAAAAATACTTTAAATACTGAAACAATTTAAAAACACTTTTAGTGGACATCTTTGTTAAATGTATTAGCCCTCTTTTTCTCCACAGAATAGAGCACAATTTAACCCTTTCTTGATCACTCAGAATTATCATTATGACCATATGTTATTGTACTGTGTGCTAATACATTAGTGTCCTTGGAGTCCCTGATATTCTTGGTCTTTCTGACCCTACGTGAAATGGTCCCAGACTAACACGCCTTCTGCATTCTTGATTTTGAGTTGTTTCTCTGCCCCATGCTCCCCTTGTCCCTTGCTGTCAACTTTAATTTTCTTTTCTTTTTTTTTTTAAATTTTATTGAAGTATAGTTGATTTACAATGTTGTGTTAATTTCTGCTGTACAGTACAGTGACTCAGTTATACATATATATATTCTTTTTCATATTATTTTCTACTGTGGTTTATCACAGGATACTGAATATAGTTCCCTGTGCTATACAGTAGGACCTTGTTGTTTATCCATCCTATAGATAATAGTTTGCATCTGCTAATCCCAAACTAACTTTAATTTTCTATTTCTCTCGGTGAACTTGACCCCAAGTTTTCCCCCTTCCCTCAAATGACTTTTGGCTTTGAAATGATAAACCAAATAGTTAAGTTCAAAGTTGCATCCACTATGATACAGAATGAGGTCCTGATCTTTAGAGCATGCCTTGTATCATCTTGTCTAGTTGCTAGCTTTTCACTACTTAAGTTTCTGTACACCTCTTACTTTGGTTTAAAAAAAAAAAAGTGTAGTTTCTAATCTCTTCTGTAAAGAACAGCCAGTTCCCCACAGTGTGAGAAACTTAGAGATCTAAAATACATTGTTTTTCTAAACTTGTTGTTCACAGTTTCCATGAAAGAATTTGAAAATCTTTATATCCCCTTGTATATTTTAAGTTAACATTAAATTTTTTTCATAATAAGTTAAAAATAGCTGCAAAGGATGTAATTTCCAGCTTATTATAAATTTTGGTATTTTTAAATAAACATGCTACATTGGGTTTTAATAAGTATCTGAGAGATTTAAGTATCAGAATGTTTTGTTACTCCCTCATCCATTTACACAAGCTATTCTTTAACAATCAGAAATTTTACATCATTACTTGAACTCATTTTTTAATTTTCACTGGTATTACAGAATTTTTTCTTAATGCAATATAGTTTACGCTTGGGACTTCCCTGGTGGCTCAGTGGTTAAGAATCGCCTGCCAATGCAGGGGACACGGGTTCGAGCCCTGGTCCAGGAAGATCCTACATGCCACGGAGCAACTAAGCCCGTGAGCCACAACTACTGAGCCTGCGCTCTAGGGTCTGCAAGCCACAACTACTGAGCCTGCGTGCTGCAACTACTGAAGCCCATGTGCCTAGAGCCCGTGTTCCGCAACAAGAGAAGCCACTGCAATGAGAAGCCCGTGCACTGCAACGAAGAGTAGTCCCTGCTCACCGCAACTAGAGAAAGTCCACGCACAACAATGAAGACACAACACAGCCAAAAATAAATTAAATTAAATTAAATATATATATATATATATATATATATATAGTTTATGCTTGATAGGCATTCTCTCAAATAAAAGTAGACATATAAATTTTGAATTGGAAATAAAAATATTTTGTTGACACAATGCCAAACTTCTTTCTTCTGAATTTATTTGTAGTATTGATTTGATCAAAGCAATATATATATAAGCATAGATTTTGATTAAAAAATTAATCATTAAACATAAACACTAAAATTGTATTGGAAATTTACCTCTTAATGAAGTGGATAGGGCATTTTAAAATTAGTTTTTTTGCATGCATGGATGAATATTACCTATTGGTACAAGGAGATGTTTCAGCAGCAATCTAGCCATGTTTTCATTTTTCTAAATACAGGTGCTGAGACATCTTGTTCATATAAATAAGTAGATGGAAGAAAGAGTTATTATATCAATATCACTCAAATTTTTGAACTCCTTGTGAATTAAATACCTAAGAATCATATTAAGATTTCTTATAAAAACTATTTTTAATGATGCTTTTGGAAATAGCTTGATTAGATCTTCTTTCCATTTTGTTTAAAACTGAAGTATTGGGAATCATCTAGTTTGCCAAAGAATCTAGTCATTAGAGTCAGTCACTGTGTCATCACTAATCTTAATATTTCTAATAAAGTTTTGTTTGGCTCCCAGAAAGTTTTCACACTTGGGCAAAATACTATAGTTAGATCCCAGAGAGTGAGAAATAGTATTGTCTTTGTAAAGTAAGAGAAATTAGGTTGTAAAAGGAGAGGATACTGGCTGTGTCTTTTCAGGAGGGTCAGTTTTATAAAAGAGTACATATGTAAGTTGATGGATTTTTTTGAAAATTTATGCTCTCATAAAAAAGTCTTTAAGTACCCCAGTTTTTGAAAATCACTATTCTAATACCTTTCATTGCAAGCCTTTTAAACTATGGCTTATTACATTGTATAAACTTATATTGATTATTCTTTTCTTTTTCCATTTTATTTAGATATCTAACAGTGATACACCTTCACCACCACCTGGTTTATCAAAATCCAATCCAGTCATCCCCATCAGTTCATCCAATCACAGTGCACGGTCTCCTTTTGAAGGGGCAGTAACTGAGTCACAGTCATTATTCTCAGACAATTTTCGCCATCCCAACCCTATCCCAAGTGGGCTTCCTCCTTTCCCCAGTTCCCCACAGGCATCCAGTGACTGGCCTACAGCACCAGAACCACAGAGCCTCTTCACATCAGGTATATAACAATACTATGTGTGTTAGTAATTATACTCAGACTAAAATGAGACCTTTGCTGGATGTGTTTTTATCCCTTTTTTGTCCACTCCCTTTTTCATAAAAATGTAAACTTTTAAATGGCAAGGAATTGGATGGTTAGGTAAGTAGTTCTGTGACCTAGAACTTACCATGTTAACAGACAAATTTCTCCAAAAATCAAGGGTTAGATCATTTTTCCAATAATCGAATGCTTATTCCTCTAGGAAGTATTAAGGGCTTACAATTTTTAATTAGATTTGTGTTTGTATAGTTATATTTTTAGAAATGTTTCCCCAGCTGACAAAGAAGTATGTTAGTTAATTTTTAAAGTTACATTTTGAGACATTTCCAATTTCATTCATTGTAAGTTCTCATTAATGTGAAGGATAACACAAAATCAAGACAATTTTTTTAAGACAATTTAAAAATATGAAGATTAAATGGATACTTTTTTCATTAAGTTATAGTAGTAGTATGTAAAGCGTATATTCAAACATATACTTTGTCTTTGATAAATACATTTCAAAAATAAACTTTACTAATTGAATTCTATTATATTTATTTATTTCATTTAAATGACTTACTTTGGGTTTTGATGATGAATAGTTGAGAGTATAATTTGGGTTTCAAGTAGTACTTTGTTTTCTTTGATCAGCAAAATCAGTCTATATCGTTCAGTTTTTGAAGTTAGTAACTTATGGATGAAATCATTGCTAGAAGTATCTGAGGCCTTTTGTAATTTTACAATCGTAATGTTCTAAGAAATTATGTAGATTTTGCATATATTTGCCTTTGTGTTATAGTATGATGTTGCACTAGTGTGGAAGTGAGCTATATATTTTAAATTCATCGCTCATTCTTTTTCCCACCAGAAACAATCCCAGTATCGTCTTCTACAGACTGGCAAGCAGCATTTGGCTTTGGTTCTTCTAAACAACCAGAGGATGACTTGGGTTTTGATCCCTTTGATGTCACTCGAAAAGCCTTAGCAGACCTGATTGAAAAGGAACTGTCAGTCCAAGACCAACCTTCCCTTTCGCCCACATCTCTTCAGAACTCCTCTTCACACACTACAACCGCCAAAGGTCCGGGCTCTGGATTCCTGCATCCTGCTGCACCTGCAAATGCCAACTCGAGTCTCAATAGTACCTTTTCAGTCTTGCCACAGAGGTTCCCTCAATTTCAGCAGCACCGAGCGGTTTATAATTCATTCAGTTTTCCAGGCCAGGCAGCCCGCTATCCTTGGATGGCCTTTCCACGCAATAGCATCATGCACTTGAACCACACAGCAAATCCCACCTCAAATAGTAATTTCTTGGACTTGAATCTCCCGCCACAGCACAACACAGGTCTGGGAGGGATCCCTATAGCAGGTAGGTTCATTTATAGCCTTTGAGAATTTGTGAATAACTCATGCCTTCAGGTTGTTGGGTGGGTAGGGAGGGAACTTTTGAATAACAGAAAGTATTTATCATCAGTCTTGGAAATTTCAATGGGAAAAACTATCATAATCTAAAAAAATTTTAATTGGATGGATGCCTTGTAATAGTGAGCTTTATAAGGATGGTGGAGTATTATACCTAGTTATTGCTTGGAAGCATTTTACTTAATAGAATAGTTACCAGACTTTCTTATGGCATATAAATGCAAAAAGACAAAGAAAAAAGAAGGGCTCTGAAATTATGGTGCCATAAAGTCCAACACCATGGTAAAAATTCTGATTATACATTCTAAAAGTAAACTGGTTCAAAAAAATTTTTTAGAGATGGTAATTAGTGAGAGCATGAGGGATAAAGCCACTCTCTTAACTCCTTTTGACAACTTACTTATTTTGACTGATAGACACGTACAAACACACACACACACACATCAAAACTGTGCTATATGTTAATAAAGATTTGAGAACTCTCATTATTAGTGTTTCACACACATATGTGTATAAGTATACTTTCTGTGAAAAAGAAATTGTTCAAGGAGAGATATTTTTCCTTTTAGTCTGTCATGTTTTTATTTCTGGGGTAAATATTAGGTTCCTGTAAGTGATGCCAGAATACTTCTGGTTTTGTACTGCTACCCTTGAAGGTTTCAGAACTTTTGGCTTTTAAGGTCCCATATGATATTTATTAGATCAAGTGACCTCTATGTCTAAAGGAATCTTTCTTATTAATAGTTTTTCAAAATTTAATTTGGGCTTTAGATATGACTGGTAAAAGAGTTTGTTCTCTCCTGATTCTCTCAAGTAGAATAGAATAGTCCTTCACTCTGTTACATAACTTATAAAATTTATTTTTATCCCTTTTCATGGCCTTTGTGATATGACGTGGCACAGCATTATTGTAATAATGTGCTGTTACCAGCAAAGCGTTCGTTCTCTTGTTTTTAGCAAGGTTGATAGATAAATTTACAGAGATCCATCAAAATTCTTTGGCTCTATTCTCTTTGTGACCAACAACATTTCATTTTCAAGACAAGTAGTTGGGTTAAGAGAGTATGGTTTGTGGCTGTTGATACAGTGAAGTTAATTTACATATAAGCATGATAGCACCTAATGTAGTGGTTTGCACATTGGTGGGACTCATGTTATTTGTTCATCTGATATGGTAGTTAGTAGGTAATCGAGAGTGACATTTTTCAGTCCTCTTCTACATGATATTCACTTGTGAAACACTAAGTGTTCAGTTCCTGGTACTCTTTTTTTCATCCATTGTAGACAGCATATTAGAACGTAATTGTGTTTTGTTTTGCTTTGTTTCAACCATTTAGAAATGTGGCATTTAAATTACTAGTAGTGTATCTCATAACATTATAACACTAAAAGTTAAAGCTAAGTTCCCCTAAATATTCTCAACATTTAACAATAAAATATTAAACCAATACTATAAATATTTGGGTATCTGTTTGCCCAACAATGAACTGGGCCATGTGGATAATACAGAACAAGTATAAAATATGGCTACTATTTCCAGGTACTGTACAGTATAGTTGACAAGATAAAATAAGACTGTGTATGAAAGTGGTAACCATATGGTACTGGAATCCAAAACACATCAGTGGAGCCTATAAATTGTTGGGGAGGCTTCATTGAAGAAATAGGAATTGATCTGTATCCTGGATTTGGGTTAGCAGGAGGGAAAGGAAAAAACCTTTTATGTTGATGGAAACTCCTGAATGAAGGCGTAGAGGCAGGATTTAGTATGTCATTACATTAAGAAGCATTAGAACTGCCTTCTATACCAGGAGGTCCTTCATATATTTTATACATAGAATGGATGAGAGGACGGAGAGCTCTGACGGTGAGGCAAAACAGTATGGACTTGATCTGATAGGAAGGATGATGCCTTTGTGAAACTAGTTCTTAGCTGTCTTCATTGTGTACTTTTATTTGACTTATTACATGACCATCTTCAAAAATTATCTGTTCTTCTGATTTCATAGTTATCATATTGTCCATTAGTACAAAATGAGCAGTTTTAAACCAAATATTTCAAGCCAGTATATATTCTGGAGATGCCACAGGGGTGATGAGTAATCACTGATTTTTGAGTGTAGTTGTCCTCATGTTAGTCATTTGAAATCTTCATCTAAAGTAGGTGCTTTATGAAAAAAATGTGGCATTAAATTATGGTCCTATCTTGGTGGGCTTTTCTTTTAGCGTATACTCAACCATAGAGCATAAAATACATTTTTTTCCCAGAAATTCTAAGAATGAAGTCACCGACTATAGGTTCTGAATCATTGTTGTATTTTGTGGGAGGTGGGGAGAGTTTGTTATTTCAGATTTTCAGTTTTTGACTATGCATACTACCTTGGTATTTAAATGGTGACTTATGATTAAGCTTATTGTTAGATTACTTTTAAGGCTCTCACTACTAGAGAAATTTTAGTTTTAATGTACCAAAATATTTTAAATTGTTATCAAGAGTTATAGAATCCTTCCATGGCTTATAAATATTTGGCAAATACCTCAGAAAGCTGAATGTGCTGAGCCTCAAAACAGAATAGTTTTATAATTGTAGCCAGATGATTGAGGATTTTCAGTAACAATTAGAAATGACAAACTAAAATTATGAAAAACTGTGTACATCTTAACTGTGAATTATTTGAAGCAATTTAATAGGTAGGCAATATCTGCCTCCCACCCCTAGCTGTAACTCAGTTGTACTTGAGTTGAACTATTGAAAAAGGCCTAACTCTGTATTCTGCAGTGAATATCATGGTATCTTACACAGGTAGCTGTCAAGTGCATAATAGTGGAGAGTACATACTGTTTTAGTGAGGCCTGCCACTTTAAGATATACTTAGACAATATTCAGTACTGGAAAAGGCATGTATATTTATTCTTTAGATATGTAGAGCAAAATGAGGTTCCTGACCTTTAGGAGTAAATACTCAGAGGTGTCAGTCTTCTGTGTATCATACAGAAACTATGTCTATATTTATTATATATTTGTATTTAAATTTTAAGTTTTGGTTTGTTTCAGTTAATTATTAAAATTTGATACACTGAAACCTGTCATGGGAAGGACAATTGCCAGAGGTTTGACAGAAACATGGTTTCCATTTCCTCTGCCAAATTGAAATCATTTTTGTGTTTAAAATTAGTTATTTCCTTAATTAAGTGAAATCTTTTTAGCAGCATTTTCTTGGCTGCATATTCAGTTTGCTAAATTTAGAAGGATTTTTGGAATATTCTTGAGGGGAAACTTTGATCAGTGGGCAGTAATAGTGAAGTCCATTCAGACCTTTTTTATTATTGGAACCACGTGCTTTTGTTTTAAAAAGTGACTTTTCTAGTCCTAAAAATTGACCTACCTTGTTCAACTCCTTCATTTTAGGAATGACAAAGCTGTGTTCTGGAAAGGTTAAATAATTTGTTAAAAGTCACACATTCAATTAGTAGTAGAATTAGGATAAGAACCCAGATCTCAGATTTAGTAACTAAAATGGTTTTTCATTACAACATTGATGTTCTCCTTCATAAATGAAAATTACTGGCATTTACTTTAACATGGCTTTCTTCCCATAGTAAGTGATTTTTGCTCTCACACAGTTGGGAGGTCCCTTTTTATCAACAGTATCTATTCATGAGACAATTGTCCCATCTCAGGAATATGACCTGTAGTTACAAAATAGAATGAATTTCATTGACTTGATGAAAATTAATCTCTTGCTTAGTTCTTCTAAGTACCACGTTCTCACCAAGAACTCTAGTCTAAAATTTCCTTTACACAGCCTCCTTGCTATGTATTTGGGATTTATAGAATCTTTGCCAATTTACTGAAACACTATGAAATAACCTGTTCTAAAGACTGAAAGTCTTTATCTTCATGTTATCAGTTAAGCTGTCTTTCCAAGTGTAACTTTGCAGATGTGTTTTTCAAAGGACTCCCTACCAAGATGTTTTTATTCCATAATGCTAAAAATTATTTGGAAGACAAATAATAGTCTAAGTCTGTAAACATTGTTGTTTCGGAATATACCTAGAAAAATATTTGAAACTGTTTAGGATTAGATTTTTGTTCGTGTTTTTGTTCATTTGAATTTTACTTAAGAGAGGGCATTAAAAAAAAAATTCTTAGTTTCTGAATTAGCTGTTTTAACAGTGACTTGATTGAATTTTGAGTCACGTGTGAAACAAGTCACTTGTAGTCATTATCAATTATAATTGGGAGAACTGATCTCATTTCATGTACAGTTCTCTGACCTAGAAGTAGTCATCTCACTTTCAGTCAATTGGATCATTGTATTGTTAGCATTTTACTATTTGCTGATTACTTCAAAAGTGCACATTGAATTTTCAGATGCTGTATGGTAATTTGCTAAATTAATATTTACATCTTTTTATTTCTTTTTTCTAAACATAATTACTGCTTTTAAAACATGGATTTGTCATTTTTCCCTTTTAAAAAATCACATTTTCACTTCTGTGAATTTAGTTTTAATTTTTTCACAAAATACTGCTTACTGTTAGGAGTGTCTAAATATATAAGGGGTCCAATTGGCTTGGAAAAGAATGGCTTTCCTGGTCTCTTTTTTTTTTCCTTTTTGTATATTTATAATTCTAAATCTATTATATTTGTTCTTAAATCTGACAGTGTTAAATTTAAGGGTGTGATTGGAGTATAACTATTTTCTAGGTACTTGATAAGTTTATATTTTAAAATTCATGTCTTGTTTCACACCCGCATTCCAGCCATTACGCATGTATTTTATATATGTATCAGTATTCCAAATATTGAAGTCATTTTTAAAGGGACTGTTAACAAATCTAGTCACCCATAACTAGACCATGACTGACTTTTCCACAGGGGAAGAAGAGGTGAAGGTTTCGACCATGCCACTGTCAGCCTCTTCCCATTCATTACAACAAGGA